CTTCATTATATGAGTTGATCTCTTCCCAGATAGAGGCCTGGTTATCTGATATAATGTCCTTCGGTCTGGTTTACATGCGTCCCACCTGTTCTGCTTCAGTTGCCGGCCAGTGTATCGTAGAATTTTCTTCCGTCCTTCCTAACAATCTTCTTCACTTCTTTGTTCAGTGTGGTGCACATTGAACTCAGCTTCTCCTTCTGTTGTCCTTCTTTTCATTGAGTCATCTTCTCTTTCAGCATCCTCCTCTCTTCCATTAGCTCCCAGGTGTCCACTGAGAGCCACCCCTTGCCTTGTCTCTTCTTTCTTCCTAAAATGGCTGTTCACATTTCTTCGAACATCACTTTCAGAGAGTCTCAATGTTCTTCTATGCAGGTTTCCTCGTTGATAACACGTAGTGTCTCCGACTTTGTTCTGATCTAATCTGTAGTGAAGGCATCCCTTGTGGTTTTGTCCTTCAATTTCTGAATGTTGAACTTGGATTGTGGCTTCTCTCCATTTGCTTTCATGGATTTCGGCTTCACCTTGAAAGTTCCTTGAACTAGATGATGGTCTGAGCCAGCATCTGCTCCCCTTCTCGACTTTGTGTTCAGCAGACTGTATCCCAACTCTCTTGAGATTTAAATCACGTCTGTCTGACTTTTGATGTATCCGTCGGATGGGATCCATGTCGCCTTCTGTATATTCTCCTGCTTCTACACGCCAACGTCAATCGCCATATCATTGAATGCGCAGAGGTCTTCGAAGAATTCGGCATTATCATTCATTTCGTTGGTCCCTCTCCACCCATGATGCGTTCTCTGCCTGCAATTTCTGCTTCCAGTTTAGCATTCATGCCGCCCATAAGGATTTTGATGTTGCCATTTGGGATGCTATGCATTACTGTTTGCAGTTGTCTACAGAATTCTTCCTTCTTCTCTTGTTCTGAGTTGTTTTTAGATGCGTAGCATTTGATAATTGTAACCTTCCTTCATTCCTTTTGAATTGAATCTTGCTGTCATTACACTGCAGGAGGAGATTGTTTCCTACTGTATAAGAGCTTTGGTTGCTGTCGGTAACAGTATAATAGACACTCCCTCAGTGTGTTCATCGTTGCCATCTGTGTGACCGAATTAGATTGTTGACTGTTCACTTAACAGTTTCGTTAGTCCACATCCACTCCACTTGCTCTCACAGACTCCTAGTACTCATGTAATTTCTCATGACTTTGGCAATCTGGTCAGCCTTTCCAGCTTCGTACATCTTACAAAGATTCCACACCCCAATGCTTAAAGTTGCTTTCGTTGAAGGAAAACATATTGGCTGACTGGATTCTTGTGGGCTTTCACCAACCCGCGTCATTTCGTCCCCTCGATTCCAGCAAAAAATTGGTTTGTCCTTTTCATATTTTTGTAGTTTTAATATTTTTCTCGTGCATTGAATTTACTGTAGTTGTCTGATTGGTTTACCGGGGAAGTATCGCTAGCCCTTTATCTTTACCCACCCGGGATTGGGAACGGTTAGAATGCCAGCAAACTAGTGGATTGGGAGAAGTTCCTTCACTAGTAATCATTCCCGTATTTCTGATGCAGACATCAAGTCATTTCAATCGAATATGCAATTTAGTTTTGTCTCATGCACTGAAATACGTGGGAATTTTCCATGCCACGTCATTCTATACTTAGGCAAATAGTATATTCTGACAAGTTTAGTGATCATTATCTACTGGCCACTGTACTCGAAATCACAGTCATTGCGTGATGTCCAGTAAACTACGTTGTCACGTCCAATCGAGACAACAGAATCCATGATGCCAAATAATCTGTTCTTGAGTGAGCATGTAGGTTTCAATACTACAGTAATTCCTCTGCCCTTGAAAGTCCTGCGTAGACTTTCGAATATTGTTCTCAAATTTTCATCGTATTCACTATTGTCACTTGTATCTCTTACTTTATGAGAGTTTTGTGAATTCTTTAACTAACTATAGAAGATAGCTATTTAGTAGAAATGTGTCATTTATTTGAACCACCTCCTTGTTTTTAAATTGGATGATTTACTACTCAGAGTTTCTCCCCAGTAGTTTAAATACTTAACCAGGTCTCCCTTCACAGATATATGGGTGAGATGACGTAAAAGTGAATTGCGTATCAGAATGTAACAGGTCCATGTAGATGCTGGTATGTAAGCGTAATTTTTCTATTCATGTAGTTTTATCATCTAACATAGCTAATTCACCATGTTCACCTTTTGAACTGGAAATAAATCTGATCTCGTGTACACTGTGTAGTTTATATGTGCTTATATAGCAGTGCCTACAAAAGCCTGTCATAATGCAACACGTACTTAAACTTCACCTGATCACTTCACCTGATACCAGTAATTAGGCACTTTAGAAAACTGATCACAAATTCCGAGAAGTCCGTCAGAAAGTGTAAGCGAATGTTTTCAAAATATTATTAGTAAATGAATAATGATGATAAATAATATTAAACCTTGATAATTTGATTTTTGACTATCAGTCGGTTATTTCCTCTTTGCTGACTGGAGAAATACATCCGTAGACTACCATGTGGTCAACGATATGAATAGGCGATTTTTCAGAATCTCAATCGTATTGTCACCTTCAGATTCAACTGTCATAAACAGCAGGTAAAAGTTATTTCTTTCATAAATGATGAATGCGGAAATGTCTGCATAGGTGCTTCTTGTTACCTGAGTAATTAAATAAGTAGTTTATCAGAAAAAGTGTGTTAGCATACAGAAGAAGATATGAGAAAATATTCACGAGAAAATCCTCTGACTTATGGCAATACCTGACCTAGCCACCCTCCTTTAACTCTAAATGGGATTATTTGATGATATGGGGTTATGGGGTACTGGTAGTGCTGTTGATAAGTTACACTATAGCAGTCCTCACTGAACGTAATTTGCCTTGTTACCTAATAAATCAGTACTCGATCCAACCTGTAAGTAGTGAAGAAAAAACGCAAATTAAAAGGACTCAATTAATTGGAAATGTGCTGTAATGAGCAGTATATTTGGGAGCATAACGGAAAAGTGCATAATGGCTTTGGAGCCAGTTTGTATGTATACACACAAAACAAAAAATTAAACCATTGGAAGGTGAACTGTTGGGTGAAGTAGATTACATGAAACACTCAGATGACATACAATAAATTAATGGTGGAATAAATCTACTTAGGACATTTAAAAGCTGAAGGTTGTCAAAAAGCTTCTTATGAAACCGTTATCCGGAGCTAAATTTACTCATTAAGGGAAATAGGGGAGATCCAATCAATAGCTTACGTTAAGATAGAAGCAGTTATCCTTTTGTCAAAATAAAGCTGAACAACTATATTAATAATCATGATTAAATACCACAATGAAGATTATTCTTGATATGATTCAATAGAAATTTAGGACAAATGAGATTTAAAACAATTAGTCCCTTTTATAAATTTGGATAGTGTTATTAGAAGACGGACACACATACATAGGGAGGAGTAGCCGTGCTTTGCATGTGAGGGTGGGAGAACATATCCCGAAATGGTTAGAAAAAACAGATGAATTGTGGAAAACCAATAGACGAAGGTGTCAGACTACCACCTTCGTCTATAGCTAAACATCTAATCAAGATGAACCATAAGAATGATGTCAACTAAGCCTTTCAGGTCATCTATAAAAATGGTCAAGGGGGCTTATTGAAATACGCTGAGGCTAAAGGTATTCATAAACTTAAGCCCCCCCCCCCTGTGTATTCAAAAACCATTTATTAGTACTCTTAACCCACCTTGGTAATCCTTATCTGATTGGATTACCAAAAGTTGTGTTAATCATTCTTAAATCCTTTTATTTCTCACTTTGTTTAATTTAATTGCCCTTAATTTTTTCATATATATTTTACTTTTTATATTTTTATTGTAGCTTGACTCCACACAATATTTTTGATACAAGTATAGAATTTTCAGCATGTGATACCAGTAACCTAAATTTAGCAGGCCGACCATTGTTATCAGGTGTGCATCTGCCAAGGATCGAACTCCGGACCATGCGCATGGTCGGCGAGTGTCCTAACCGCTATACAACCGACGCACCGACTTGACAAGTAAATGTGTGATCAGATTGTCCGAAATGTATAGCACAAATACATCACATTTTTCAGATAATCTCCGTCTTCTAATATCACTATCCAAACTAATGGAATTACTGTGGTATAATCCTATCCATCAAATACACTTAGACGGAATCAGTAGAGATACGGGGAACAGTACTTGAATGCTGATGTCACTCACCTACGTCTCGCGTTTTGTTAATGTTGATAACATTATTAAGTCTGGTGATAAAACGTCTGAGTCCCAATATAAGTCGTATATAATTATTTATGTCCACTTTTAAGTATTTGTTTACAAACAAACATGTTTTGTTGTCATAAATGAAAGTGTCGATACTACAAAAACAGGTTAACCTCTAGCCTTCAGAAAGGTCTACGAGGGGTGTTGAGTAGAAAACGGTGTAATTTTGTCAGCAACAATCTACAAGAGGAGTCTGAAATACATACTGTAAAGCATTTGAGCTGACGTTCCCGCAATTATACCAAATAGTTGTGAAATGAATAATGAAGAAGCAAGCAAGTTCTGAGAAACTTCGATTTCGAAAACTAGGAGTGTACGTATTTAAAAAAACTATGCTAAATGAAACTTATCTTTAATTTGAAGAAAAACACAAATTATGACCAAACCAGAAGTAGAATAAAAATAAATCCAATAAAGACACAAATGTTATGGTTGCAGAGCATGATCTAATTGATTAAGTGCATCAAAATACATCCTAAACCTGTTCAGTAATCAGTTTAGGTAATAAAATTATGATTATGAATGCAGAGATAAACGCATCCGCATACACACATTTTTGTCTTCGTAACAAATCATATCATGTTTTGATGTGAATGTATAACCATAACAAATTCAAAGTATAACCAACATTAGACAAAAATTTACGTAAATTTATTGACAAAATGTATGAGTCAAGGAAAACAGAATTAACTTGAACTTTGCACACCAATCGTATATTAATAACATCACTGTATAAACATACGCAAAAAATATAAATTCTTTCTACTCTTTTGAAGTACTTTAACAGGTTAACCGTATTTTCTGCGCTCACTGTTAACTATGGAAGGCTTCTTCAAACTGCACCTTGTGGGTGCTCTTCTTTCTTATATTTTGATTAGTAACATATTCTGTGAAGGAAATAAACTTGAAAATCAAACTGCCGTTAATAATAAGAAACTCAGACATGTTCATCTGGTATTTCGACATGGAGACAGATCACCAATGAATGAAGTGCCAGAAATATATGCAGATTTTGAGAGTATTTGGCCAGAAGGAACTGGTAAACTAACAGATATTGGGATTCGACAACAATATCTTCTCGGAAAATGGCTACGACAAAAGTACGGAGACTTTATCCCTGAAAAATACAACAGTTCAAGCTACTACCTAAGAAGTACAGACAAGGATAGAACTTTGATGTCCGCAATGGCCAATTCTGCTGGCTTTTTCAGTTCAGCTTTCTCACCTCTTGATGAATTTGATCTACATTGGTCACCAGTACCTGTTCATACTGTGTCTCAAGTAAGTTTATTAAATAAGTCAGACATTTTTGTGAATAATGAGGATAATCTCAGATAAAACGTAAATAAAATCTATAATAAAAATCATCTTTGAATAAAACTTGAAAGGATAGTGAACGATGCACTATTTCTGCTTAAGATCACATAATTTCATGGAAAAACTGGCCTTCTCCAAGTAAGCTTTTAGTCTTTCATTCATCAGGTCCAGTGAATTCACTTGAAGAAATTCTTATTTATTTTCAGAGAATTAATGTAGTCGGTATTTATCATATATGGTCTACCATTGTTTGTTATTTAGCAAATATAGGCTCTAGTTCTTCAGAATAGTATGATCATGCTGAATGTGATAACTATTGCTACAGCGGGGACTGAATAAGTCCTAGTGAACTACAGCAAGACGTCACAATCTATAATCCCAAAAAGACATTGAAAGCATAGGCATTATCTTAATTGATTTGATGCAAGCTGTTAAGTGTAGTCTCCCTCAGAAGAAATAGATTAATTTATAATTCGTCCAATGGTGTATTACATAGAGTATTGTAGAAAAATAGCTCAGTTATATTATTTGTGCATCAATGTTAAAACTTTTCATACCTAAAGATTTATATATTTATATGTTTTGATTTCCCAACGAAACCGTTAGAAATTTATCTAGTGATTATTCTGCGGTGTGAAGGCAATCATTATTTTAATAGATAGTTTACAACCAATTTATCAATTTAAAATTAATTTCATCAAGAATCTCTACTCCTTATGAGTCCTAAACCGCGAGGACATGGTCTTACATTGAACCCTAGTTTGATTATTCTCTAACTAGTTGTTTAATAGATTTTAGAATACCATGTATACATAAAAATACTCCCCTGTGTGATTTTCAACAATAGGATACCGATATCTTCCTGAGTATGGATGACTGTCCACGTTTGAAAGTACTGAGAAAGCTGAAAATGTATTCTCCTGATTCGATTGAATTTGAGAAAAAACACAAGAAGCTGTTTAAAATACTAAGACGTGCTACTGGTTTGCGTGTGAATCGATTTACCATTGGAGAAATCGCTGATTTTTTGAAATGTATGCAAGGTAGCAATGTTTCTCTACCTGAATGGTGCACAGGTGAAGTGCTGGATGAGATCTATGAGGTTGAAAATTTTTACTGGAAGGTAAGATACGAGAAATAATTCTTATTTTACTTTATTCCTCGATTTTGATTGATAACATCACCAGAGTATTCTCACACAGTGTTTAAGTATTCTTTCCGTGAGCAATAAACACTTCTGCAAACTCATTCAGCAAATAAAACCAGCAATTTACGAGCCTACATCATACTTAGCACACTATATCTTTCAGAGGACTTGTTAAAACTATACAGCCTAAAAAATAGGTCAGTGACAAATTACTACTTAACCTTGTTGATCTGATCAAATTTCACACAATACTCATCGTAGGCTTATGACATTATCGACACAATACAGTATTAGATAATGACTCTTTAGAATTTATGGTATAAGAAATTTTTTTGAAAATTTGTCATGTAGTGAATCCGTCAACAAGAAATCTTTCTTTATCTAAGTTTTCCTAGAGTTCAAGCTTATCAGTTCTTGAAGTAATTCATATTTGTTTGTGTGTTTCAACCTGAACTAGTCAATACAAGAGTAAAGTATTTCATTATTCAACTTCTCAACTTATGTCTGAATAGCTTCAGAATTAAGGAATTTAAACAAATCTGTCAAAGAAGTAGATCTTAATTCACTACGTTCGACGAAACTTTGTTACTTTGTTGTTCAATACAGTCATTGTGCAAGGTCACATGATACTTTAATGAATAGACATAAGTGAGTATTCTTAATTAATATCAGAAGAGTTAGTGATAAGTATAATTTGTGTTTTAAATCTTAAGTGGTTGGGATTTTCATTTCAATGAAAACATTGTTACATTTATCAGCTAAAGTCAGTCAATAGTCAACATATAATAAATCATGACGATGAGCTTTGTGATGGTAGAAATTTCATTTCCAGGATCTGGTAGCAGCTTATGTATACCTGTGGGTAGATAACGTTGTTGAACACCACAACGCTTTAAGATAACATTTCTAAAAGTGTTCCGAATGAGCGTACGAAGTAACTTTATATTGGTCATCATAAGTCGTGAGATATTGTGAAGGCATAAACAACAGAATACATTGTTATGAATATAAGCTATTTCGACCTATTCTATATTCTGGATTTTCAATTATTCTGCAGCACCATATAGTATCACACTGTGAGGCAATGGATAGATTCTGAGCCATGAATCAAATCTGAAATGAAATGAAGATATTCATATCAATAGATTTCTTTTAATGGCCGTTATGTTATTATTTTTTTAACATAGATCATCTGTCTCATTTTTTTTAAGAAGGAAAGCCTTATCTAAAGATATTGTAGACTATTTAGTTAAAACTGGGTTTTCAGACAATGGTTACTATTGGAATGGATCAGTTTTCTTTATTTTAGCAATGGTAATGGGTATGTAGGAAAAATTATAGTATAAAAAGTCCCTAAAGAGAATCAGTACCGCTGAAGTTTCGTGTTGTGTTCCTGTAAAAGATATTCTTAATGTCATCAAGTTATTTACTTGCAGATATTCCCCCAGTTATTCTACAAAACCAGTGGAACTCAATGTTTACTGCTGAATTCGAGCGTTTACACTCTACTCTATTTTATCTAAGCCATTGTATAGTGTTTGAATTAATAACTGAACTTAAGAAATGTACCATTATTATAATACGTCAAATTGTACAGTTAGAATCAATGTTTCTATTACTACTGACGACATTTTTGGTACATACATTCATGTATGATTGTATTCTAATTCATGATATGTTACATGAGTGGTTGGAATTCATTTGCTCAATCATTATTTTTCGACAAACAACAAACGGATATTTTATTCGTTTCGGATCAGTGTGCTTTGACTTAGGAAACTAAGGGAACTTAATCTGCTTACAGCATCCAAACAGTAGCTACCTATGAGTCGCGTGTGAGATTTTCACTTGTTGACATCTACCAGCAGAATATATACATTTATATATATCCACTGTTTTCTTGAGGCTATGCATGGTATCGAAAACACCAGATATTGTGGTAGGGACATTCTGTGTACAAAGAGCAAATTTTAGTGAATTTCTCCTCAAACCGTATAATTTGTAATTTCCAGCTGTTCACAGTTAGGGAAAATGTGCTGTCATTTGTGAGCTTCTTTTGTCTCTAAAAGCGGTAGCACATTATGAATTGGACAATGCTAATATGAACTTGTATTCTCGCTGAAAATCACACTTTACTTTTTACTAATCAATAAAACAGGAATTTCAAGATAATACACCTGTTTTAAAGCCTTATACTGTCGTAAATATTAGACACTAATCGATATTTACAGTAAATACAAATGCCTTGTAGTTCTAAGTGACTGAGAAAAACCAAATTTTACTTAGTCAGTAATTAGAGCCTATTTATTTATATGGTTTCAGAAAAAATATGCTTCTTCAACTGAGATTATTCGTCTTGAAGCTGGACTAATTCTTCACAACTTCATTAAATATATCCGTTCACTTGTCAGAGGAAAACTTATCAGCCCATCTGAAAATATACCAATGTCTAAGAATCATATGGTAGCCTATTCAGCTCATGATACTGATTTGACATATATTCTAGCTGCTCTTGGTGTTTTTGACAACAAAACTATTGAGTATGCGGCTGCTGTATCATTGGAAATCTACGGACCATCGAAACCAGCGGATGAAAGTCGATTTATCTTAAAAGTCTTTTACAAAAGAGGTTGGGAAGATGAAGACGGTGAATATCTATCATTGCCAATATGTGATAACTCTCAGTTCGCTGATGGATGTCCACTGAATATTGTCTTACAGCACCTTGAAACACTGGCTATACATCCACGCATATATGCAAGTGAATGTTCTTCTGGTCTTGCTAAATTAGACAGTCAGGCAGCAACAATAATAAGTCCAAAATTAATTGTGTTTTACACTATCTTTATGTCGTCCTTTGTGCTGATATTGTTATTCTCTATGTTTGCAATGCGTTCGCAACAAAAAATTCAGGAAGAGGTTGTTGAGGAACCAATGTTAAAAAAGTGAGGGACATATCTACTAATATATTTCACTTATATTTGACACAATCTTTAAATTATTATCTCTTAACTGACTTTTGTGCTTATTCTACTCAGAAATGTTTTCTCCAGTATATTATACAATGAAATTATCTTAAACCGCAATTTTGTGTGAAATTAAGACCTTTTGTAATCGTTGGAATTTAATGCCGTATAATAAACTCTTTAAAATAAATCTTGGTTGTTTTCGATGTATTGATTGCTAAAATTTTCACTTGTGAATGTATTTACTGATGTCCGCTGGTTTCAGTCGCATGATCCGACTTCAGAAAATAAATCACTTAGGGAAATAAATTGAAATAAACATTTTTATGACATCAGACAGTCTTTATCAAAATCAGAACCTTGTGTGTCCTTAGAATTATTTGATTGCGAATTTCGAACGAATTAGGTTATTAGCGTAAAGGTTTATCCAAACTTTCTAATTCTTCTTGCTAATGAGCTTATAAAAGCAACAAAATAATATCTAGCCTGCATAATATTTGTAATCAGTTCCAACAGTGCAAGAGGACTTAGAATGTTTTCGTAGGGGAATAATGGTAGCTATGATGATGGCATTCGAGTCAAATGAAAAAATAAGTCCTACCGCGGTATCTTACATGTTTTATATAACTTTCGAAAGTCAATTTGCTGTAGCCAATTTCTAAGTTTATTCTGATTTGAATCTCTTTTATGAGACTTATATCAAAATAATTTTTTCACAGTGTATCACCCTGATTACTAAATTTGCTGTTCACGAACCACAGAAATCGGTGACTGTTAGCATGTGATATGAGCAGGTTAACTACATGGGATACTAAGATGTAGTAATGCAACTGTTATATTTAATTCCTCCTTTCCTTTGATTCTAGTCGACAAATGAAACTCGTTATTTTTTGACTTTATTCCTCGGTGATCGCCAGATAAAATTACGTACTAACGTAGTAAACAAAAATCTGCTCATATGCAACAGTCTTCTAATTAAAGGTGACTTACCATGAAAATTTATATTCTAGCCGCTTTGTTAGCATCTTGAAGTAATAAATTTTAGCCAGAAAAGCTTTGGCTTACATATTAGCAAAATAATGGGGCACAGGCTAAATCCCTAGTTATAAATGCTGTCCATTTCTTAATTTTATTATCAATTATGTCTAACTGTTCAGTGTGATTAACACATACCAGTGTTATGTTTTCATTACATTGCATTACATTGCATTATTACACAAGAAAAACAGACAAGAGGAGGTAGTAACTTATTTCGTAGGCTTCTCATCAGCTGCTTACAGCCTAAATAAATTAGGAGGTTTGCGTACAGAAAAGTTTTAACATACTTGCAAATTTTACATGTTGTCAGTGGACAAAAAGTTCCACAGTTAGTGAACAGTGCTCATAAAATTGCGCTTATATAGTTTTTACACAGGCAGTTCAAGTTTAAACAAAATAGATGTATGCATACAATGGTAAAAGAGTCACGTATTAAAGACGAAATATGCGTTAGATACAAAGTGACTAATAAATTAGGTAACAATGTACTGAGTTCAACTCAAATCATAGAAACAAGAGACAAGCAAAATTACAGATTATAAAAGGGGGAGAGGTTAAAGACAAAGATTACGTAATCAGATGAGAGAATAAAGACATTCAGTTACCAGGGCAAGGAAAGATTAATAACTGCTTCTTTCTGAACACATAAATCTGGTTTCAAGCGTTTGATAGAGATTGCTTCGGCAAACTTGAGGAGAATGGAACTCCTTTGTCTATTGATAATTTTAAAAGATTTCTCGATTTCTACCTCATGACCCGTGTCGAGAAGATGTCTAGTAATAGCGCTGCTATAAGAGTTTGTTCCCTTGAGACGTAGGCTTTTTGGCACATGTTCAGAAAATCGGAGGTGTGCCCTTCTTTCTGTTCTCCCAATGTAACTGCTCCCGCAGATACACGTAAATTTGTATACACAGTTGGAGTTAACATAAGAAGGGTATCTATCGACTTTTGACTGCACCAAAGAGCATGTTGTTCGATGAACGGGAACCAACTTAGCTGCAGGATAGGCTCTGGCTAGTGACGTTCTCAGTCTTCTGTTGACCATTTCTGCAATGTTTTCACCTTTAAAATCTAGTTGAATGAAGACAGGCTTTTTTTCAACTGTGATTTGTTTGGTATTTGAGCCTTCACATCTTCCATATTTGTTAATGAATCTTTGAGGGTAGCCGTTGTTTTTCAGCACCTTTTCGAGAATCATAAATTCTTCCTCTAGTTTCTCTGTAGAGCATATTCTCCTTGCTCTATAGTACAGAGTCTTGACTAGTGCTCGTTTATAGCTATTTGGACAAAAACTATTAAAATGTAAGTATTGTCCATTCCATGTAGGCTTTCGGTAAATTGACCTCTGGAGATTACCATTTTCTAGGCGTTGCATGGCGATGTCAAGGAAATGGAACTTCCCATCATTTTCATGTTCCATGGTAAATACAATATTTGTATGTGCTTTGTTGAATAGGCTGAGTAGGTAGGAGGCATGACTTTCGTTGTTGCATACTACAAATGTGTCATCGACATATCGACAATAGGAAGTTTTTTGATCGATTGCATGCTTCAGCTTTGTTTTCTCAAGGTTTAACATGAAGATATCTGCTAAAACGGGGCTAAGTGGACTGCCCATGGCTACACCATCTATTTGTCGGTAAAGAGTGTTATCAAACTGGAATTGTACACCCATGGTACACATTAGCAGTAGGCGTTTGAATTCTGACTCTGGTAGTGGAAGAAGATCAGACTGTTGACAAATGATTTCAATGGTTTCATTGATTGGGATCATTGTGAACAAGGAGGTTGCATCAAATGAAACCATGAACTTATTTGAAACGTTCATATGATTCACGCTTTCGGCGAAATGAAATGAGTCTTTTATGGTATGCACGGCTAGCCGTCGGCGAATGGGTTCCAACTTCTCCGCAAGCCAACGGGCAACCTTATGTTGAGGAGAATTGATCATCGAAAGTATTGGTCTCATAGGGACTTCTTTATTGTGTATCTTTGGAAGGCCATACATATATGGCAAGCGGGACTCTCGGGGTTTTAATTCATTGTACGTGTTGTTGTCAATCAAATTCTTCTTTAGAAGATCTCTCAGTACATTTGTGATGCGTTTTTCAGTTGCATCTGTCTTGTCTTTCTGACAGTCGTCAACTTTAAACCTCAACGGGTCATTCAGCACAGTTTTCATTCTTGCGATGTAGTCATCTTTATCCATCAGTACCACTCCTGAGCCTTTGTCTGGTCGCAGTCAACTGACAGCATGTAAAATTTGCAAGTATGTTGAAACTTTTCTGTACTCAAAGCTCCTAATTTATTTAGGCTGTAAGCAGCTGATGAGAAGCCTACGAAATAAATGATGGTACCATATTATTCTGCACAAACCACTGTTGTTCTTGCTTTATTCAAATAAATCAGATATTATTCTTATTTTTTTCAGCTGCCCAAACTGTAGTAACCTTTTTGACATATTTTCTTTCTGTTGAATTATTTTATTTCTGGCAAAATAATTATCTTTTTAATTTAATTCAATTGATACTTGTAAGTTCATAATTATTTCATCAGTTTGCTAGATTAACTTCAAAATACATGGGCCCATCTATCTTAATTTGGAGTACCATTGTATTCAATATCTAAGCTAGTAAAAGAAACAATGGTATTATTTCTCACTTCAAACTGCGTATATCTTAAACAGTAGATTATCTGAACTTAGATGAAGATTTGACCATAAAAGCGTACAAATACTGAGTGTTTAGGAAACAGTAGACCCTATTAAACATTAATTCGAATGTGAAGACTAAAGCCCACCGGTGGCATTGAGTGTTAGTGGCGATGTATCAAGAAATAACAGTTGTTAGAATTTGCTAGCTGTTGGATTAAAGATCAATAACTGAATGTCAATTAGCCCACCATATAACTTGCTAGCTATTAGTTTCAGTGAAAGGAACCTTCCTCGTAATTGCTTAAGTCGTATTTTGCAGACTACATTTGTGCACAAGATAAAAGAAAATGAAATTAGAAAAAAGGATGGACATACCCAGTTGTAGCTATGTGCTCAGGAAAACTGTACCAAGAAGAAACTGCCTTGGTTATACTGTCTGTAGGATACAGCAGAGATAAATAAGTAATAGAAATCATAGCTGTTATAATTACAATTTTTACTTTTTTTAACGGATCCTGAGTGAAAATAAAACTAGAACTGAAGGCTTTCATCAGTGCTGTTTTCCTCCATTGGCTGAGGCACCGGGTTACATCATCTCTCCTCTTTTGCATTCAAGCTGTTAGGATAATAATAATAATAATATTGGCAGTAGCTTTATTATGGATAGTGTTTATATAATATACAGAATTTTCAATGGAATTTGTTATATGATATTTCGTCTTCGTCCAGGATCTTCAGATAAAGTACTAACTGACAACAGATAGCGTGATATAATGCTCTCTGGACTGAAGCGTAAACCAATCCATTATGATATTTCTCCTTCCTCCCCTTCCAGAATTGAACGACATTTGTTTGAAAGCCAAATATATGAATATACAAATATACCCTCTTACCAATCTTCAACCTCCTAGTTTACAATCTGATTATTCATCACATTTTTGAAATGTCTTGACAACAATAACCCTAACTTATTTTTATTCTTATCGGATAGATCTAATGCCAAGTCCATTTTATCTAACTCACACCACCCTCTGCACTCACAACTCTCCCCTTGCATCTCATCAGGTAAAACCAGAAGCCTATATAGAAAACCTTATGCTCGCACCAGCAAGTACAAAAACTCAACCGTACCCTACTTAGCTCGTGTTCTGTGTGATAAAGAAAGCATTAGGCGTGACACCTATAATTCATTAAATAGTCAGTAGTACAACTGGATCTCGTCTTTCCAACTCGCATCATTTATAGGTACAACATTTTCTCTCTTTCTTTTCCTTTTCTCTCTCTCTTTTTTC